CTCCAGCAGACTTGAATCAGTCTGCTCCAACACGCTGTAATAACAGTATGTTGGAAGCAGACTTTACACTTGCGTACAGGCACTCTATTTCCTTTTGAAGGGCCATGAAAAATTACAGAAAGTTCAAATTCCCATTTTATGAGATTTGCACTACTACCTCTTACAGACACAATGGGCACATCCACACATGAAGGCACGTGTGCTTGCAGCAGCTCAAATAGAAGTGGTGCAAATTTCAGCTGGGGCTTTTTGCCTCAGTGCACGTGCCCAGACATGCACTTTGCTGTGGTGCAAGTTGTGCAACTTGGGGCAAAATAACCCTGCCTGGCTCTTTCTGGATCGGCAGCCAGAGAGAGCTAGAGCCTAGGGCCAGCACCTGTGTAAAAAGCTGCCCTGGCAAATACCTCAGGGCTATTTGCTCTCAGGAGCATCTGGGGGAGGAGCCTCTTGGAGGAAGTGGCCATGCTCCTTCCTGTCCCACGCTGCTGCTGTTGGTTACTGCGACCTTGGTTTCAGAAACTTCTGGGGAGAAGATGGCCAGGCTCCTTCCTGTCTCTGGCTACTGCTAGCAGTTAGCTATGTAGCAAAACCCCCAGTTTTTCTTTTTTTTAATATATATATATATATATATATATGATAGATATGCATTTCCTTCCCTTCCCCAATTATTTCTGGCTTTTCTTTCTCTCCCTCTCTATTCCCTATAGGCAAGCATAAGACAGCTCAGACTTGGGATAAGCTTTAACATTTTTATTTTGGTAGCATGTTTTTGGTTTTGGATATCCATTGTTTTATATTGTATTATTATTAGGTTTTGTATTGATTCTTACTGTTGTATATTGTATTATTATCATTTTCATATTGATTTTTATTGTTTCATATGGATATTGTATGGTTTAGGTCTGTGATTGTAAGTGAACCAAAGTCATGTCAAGTTTCCATTTTTTATGTCAAGTCTCCATCTTGCGTCCTCTGCCCAGGCATCCCCTGTGTTGCAACTGAATGAGTCATGCACCCGTCCCATGTAAATTGGTTCCTGGATGAATGAGAATGATTGGGAATGATTGAAATACAATGGTAGCAGGCCTCTACTGAATGGCCTGTAACGACCGGGCCATCACCTTGCGTTGATTCATCCAGGGACCACGGACCTCACCCAGGAACAGAGACAAGAACCCAGCATTTGAAAGACAAAAGACCTTACAGAACCAGCAACTCTCACTGTTACAGACACCCGAAACTACACATCTCTGCATGGAACACACATGCTCAGTACGCCAGGGTCTGACATTTGCCTGGGCATGCCTCCTGTCACGAGGGTCACACAAGATCTGCCCCTATAAAAAGGGGCAGTAAAGACAGACCCAGTGGGAATGCCATTTCCATCCGGACCAGACCAGCTTCACGTCACCTATCCACCCCATAGGCCCTGCTGGCAACCCCCTCTGGCAACACTGAACTGAAGGAGACCCCGACTGGCCATCGAGGATCAACTTCCAGCCTGGGATAGGTAGATATTACCTGCACACCTGCTCCTACAATTTGGACTCTCTCTCTCTGTCTCTCTCTCTCTCTCCTCCTGGACTTCAGTGGACTTAAGCCCCTGCACCAAGCCTCTCTAACCCCTGCTGCCATTGTGTGTGCGTGTGGATGTGTGTGGGTGTGTGGGTGGGTGCAAGGGAACCAATAACATATTGTGTCACCATCTCTCCTGTTCAATAAAACCACTGTCATTTGTAACCCCGAGTTGGGTCATGGTTTACTGAATCCCAGTCCCTTCCTTATCTTAAATTCCAGTCTTGTTCTCTCTCTCTCAGCTTCAGCCCCCCCCCACTTCACTACTTTCCCAACCTCCTCCCAATTCTATCTCCCCTTTTCTGCCACCTCTCAGCCCTTCCTTGCTTTCCTGCTGTCTTTCAGCCTCCCGTGCCATCTACTGCCTTTTCCCTGTGACTTTTTGCTAACTCTCCCTGCTTTTCCACTGCCCCTGCTGCCTTTCAGTCTCTCCTCCTGCTTTTCCTGTGATTTTCTGCTGTCCCCCTGCTCCCCACACTCCTACTGCCTTTTCCCTGTGACTTTCTGCTGTCTTTCTCTGCTTTCCCACTACGCTGCTTCCTTTCAGTCTCTCCTGCCACTTTTCCTGTGATATTCTACTCTCCGTCTCTCTGTTTTCAGGCTTCCTCTGCACCTTCTGTAGTCCTACCCACCCCCACCCTGCAGCTTCCCAACTCCTCAAGGCTGTCCTGCAGTTTTCTCCGGCAGCAGGAGCCTTTCTCCAGCTCCCAGCACCTACTGCTGCTCCCTGCAGCTTCTCTAGCTTTCCCAGAGCCATTCTCTGGCTCCCCACACCCAGAGCCCCTCTTTAACATCCATACTTTCCTTTAGTCCCATTTTCCCCTCTCCCCACCTACCTTTTCAGCTCCCCCGTAGCTCTGGCTCCAGTCCCAGACTCTGCGCTAGCATTGCTCCCCTGTTCTGCAGGCCTTGGGCATTGTCTTTTAATCAATTAAGATCAATTAACCTAAAGTTACCCCCAAGCCTCAGTTCTTCAGTCCAGGCCCCTCTAGTCTACCAGTTCTAATCCTGGTCCTGGTAACTTTCACTCCCATCAACTTTCACTCCCTACACTTCTACTTTCTTACCTTAACCTTTCCCCAGGTATCCCAAGTACACCAAGCACATACATACATACATGCATACATATATATCACAATACCCAACTTAGGAACTCACCTGTGTGTATGTGTAGGTGGATGGTATGTGTGAATTAGTGAATACATATATATATATATATATATACACACACACATATATAGATATCATTGTGTGTCTGTGTGGTATATGAATTAGTAATCCACATATGTGTATTGGATGTGCAGGTGTTGGTAACTGATTCTGTCTAAATTTGGTGTGTGTAGCGTGTATGGGCTTAAACTGGTGATACCTGTGCATGAACCTAGACCGGTTATTTTGAATGTGTGTGTATCTGAGTTGCCAGTGTGAGTGTGTATGCCTGGTAGGGGTGTATGCACCTAGTGAGTGTATGTGTGCTTAACTGATTTTATGTGTGCATGTTCAATTGTACACCACACCCTCCTGTCTAACAGCACAATATTGAGATCCTGAGCATTGGCCTGACCCCTCAGGGTAACAGCTTGTTCTCAGAGCTTTTGGAGGTAATGTGGCTGCACCCATTCCTGCCTTAGGGCTGCTGTTTCTGCTCCCCCCACAGGGTGAGGTCCTCTGCTGCATGCCACATGCTGACGTTCCCATGAATGGGGTGAGGGGGCACTGCGCTGCACCCCAGCAATGCACCCCAGCTTCTGCACTCTTGTTCTGGCCTGCTGGCCAGTCTGCTGCCAAGCTGCAGTCTGGGGACAGCCTGGGGAGGGAGCCTGCACTGCCTGTGGGCCCTTCCCCACCATCACTGCTGGAGCCTAAAGGTGCCTTGCCTCAGCTGTCTTGGCAGGCCACCCCCTGCCTTCACCTCCACTTTCACCTGAAGCACACCCTGAGTGGCTGAACTGGATGGCTACTTCCACCACTACTGCTGCGTCCTGTTCTGATGCTGCCCACTCTCAGGAGAAACGGAGATTCCCTGTTGCGACACCTTGCACCACTCTATACTGCTCCTGCACTGGATTAATTCCTTAACTGACTGTTGCTTTTGCACTCCCCCGCAGATGCCTTATCCTATCTACTCCTGTGTTTGTATTCTTTCCTGCTGCCCCGCTGCTGTGTGCCTGGCTGGAGGCCTAAGGGGCTTCTGGACTGAGCTTCCAAAATCAAAGTCCCTCCACCACTCTGGCCATCTTTTACATTTTTTTGACCCCTGGATATCCAAGGGCCTAATTTTGCCTGCACACTGCAAATTTGTAGCACGGGGAACTTTTTTTATTCCCACACGTGCCTCTTGCAGCATCTGAAAGGGCTTTGAGACGCTCCAAGAGGAACGTGCGCGCTCATTTGGATGTGCCTAATATGTCATCTTTCAGTTTCAATCTACAAACACTTGTCTCTAGCAAAAAAACCCAAAACAAAACTATTTTTTATAACCTCCAAAGTGTAGATTCAGTTAATCTTAATTTGAACTAAATACTCTGCCAGCAGCTCTGCATGCAGACATCAACATATATAAACACATATATTTGCATGTAAAAATGTGCAAGTGAATATATACCTATTAGAACCCTCTGCATTTATTATATACTATGCAGAACAAATTAAAATAAGTATTTTTTTCTATCTTAAATAGTAACTGTGATCTTTTAGCTCCATAGCAAAATTTTGCTAACTAGCTAATTCAGATTTGGTTTTCGAGAAAAATAAAATACAATTATCATTATTCATCTGAAGTGAATGATTTAGTAAATTATACTGCCTCATTATTAAAATTGACAAAAGTATGGTAAATGACAAAATGTGCCTACCACACAACAGTTAATGGCATTCTGGAAATCCAAACAATCTTACCACCCCAATTAGATGAGATTTCTTTTCTGTCCAATAAGGAATTTGGATTTCTTACTCTTTTTTTTAATGCTCTTTTTGTTGTGGGGGTGGGGGGGGGGGGGGGGGAGGAATTGAAAATGATGCACAGAGCTTAAATTTAATTATTTCAGCTCATTTTGTTCCTTGTATTGTATAGAGAACAGTTTCAGTGTAATGACAACAGTGCAGTTTTACAAATACAAGCATGATATTTGTTTACAATAGTATGTGTGCTGAAGCTCACATTCAATAATCCTCCTAAGCCAGTCCTACAGGCAAAGTAAAACATTTTAAATCATAATTTAATAGGCACAGTTGAGTAGTTTGGTAAGCTTAGGTCTGAAAGTACAAAAAACAAAGTGATATTCCACTTCACTAATTTGGCTGAATAGTTCACATCACAACATACTGAAGAATTAATTCTACACACACATATTTCCTCTAAATGCACAGTGCAAAGCAGCAATTAAAACAACTGCATCAAGCTATAAGAAATCTAGAGTGCCCACCTGTTTTAGGGTCAACAGAGAAATATGGCTGTCCCTGAAGAATACTGTACACCACCCGAGCACTGTTCCCATAGGTAGGGTCATCGGCATCTGTGGCTGTTACCTGTAGAACAGAGGTACCTGCAAATCCGAAAGAACAAAATTTAGTTGATAAAACTGCCAAAACTTTTATTTAAACATTTTTATACTTTGTACTTTCATTTTTCCCTTGCTTTCAGCTGAAAGACAAAGCAAATTATAGGATCCCCATCTCTCTCTTTTTGAACCAGATCACATTGCTGTCAAATTGTAAAGAATAATTTCAAATTTCAGGTCCAAATCAGTATTTTCAATACTGCAAAGCTAGAGGTTTTGGGAATCATACATTTCTTACTGTGCAAACTAATTTTGAAATACACATTTATTAAGTCATGCCCACAGTCCCCAAAATCAATAAGTGGTATGAGAAGAACTTAAAAGCTTGACATTGGAAGATTTCCAAGAATTTAAACTTTAAACCCAGCAAGAGAATCACCAGAATGTCAGGCATGAAGCCTGGAGTTGATAGAAACACCTAAAAAAGAGAGGTACATGAGACAATTTATTTTCAGTAAATTATAAATTGCTATTTCACTCATGCCAATAGATGGGATGGGCTATAAATTATACATTACAGAGATTAAACTGTAAGAACCAGATAGATAAAATGCAAAAGAAAAACTCCATTTCAATAAAGAGGCTTTGGAATTTATAGTATTTTCCCATTAAATATGTAATAATGAATCCTTTCTACTATGTTAGCTGGAGAGTACACTGAGTATAAGGAGTAAAATAGCTAATGAAAAAGGAGCAAAGTCTCAGAAGTTCATTTTCATTTCTTCCCTCTCCTCTTCCCAGACTTCCTGCTTTCTACATGTAATAATAATCACAAGATAATTTATAAGAATTAAAAGACTGCGATGGACCATTAGCCCAGCTCTTGTGCTACCCTATATCTGGCAGTGAGCTTCAATACTTATTGGCCCTAAATGTACTCTCTTAACTTTACGCACTGTGAATGTACCTATTTGAAATGAATGGAATACTCAATGAATAAAGTTAAGCAGGCATGTAAGTCTTTGCAAGCTCAGAGCCTATAAATGCTTGTGGAAGCATCCACTATTTTGTGCAATGTTGCATGTGGGCCATAAAAAAGTTCTTTTTCTACTTCCAAGTCAGTGATTAGCATATAAATTAAAGCTTGAGAACTACTATTCTGTGTAGGTGGTATTTTTCTTCATAAAGATAACTTACACACATAGCACATTTTAGAGTATCTTGATAAATTTCAAAGTTAAAGTATATATCATACTGCTGCTAATGATTTTAACATTTATATTACACAGCTTTAACAATCCATATAGAAATGTTAGTTATACTGGCACACAGAATTGGCTGAATTACTACTATAGTGCATCAAGCTAAAGAGATATAAAATGTAGTTTCCTTAAACTATTTGTGAAATGTATATCACCATTTTTACTTATTGTTACCACACAAGTTTTAACAAATCATGACCAGCAGGCCTCCTCTACATGTTATAGGTATCACACAATTACCTTAAGACCAGCTACACATGCAAAGTAGCTATCACACCATAAAAAGCTCCAACCAGCTATAAAGTTAGACCTTGAAAATGTGTACTAACTTTATAGTTGGTTGCTATTAAGCTTTAATTTGCACATGTAGCAGGGGCTACCCTGCAGCTGGGAGCCGCATTAACTTATGGGGTGCTCAACCACAGGGCTGCATAATGCCCAGTCAGGGCTAGGAGTCCCACAATGGAGGGGACTGTCAGCCCTAGGAACTGCTGAATCAGGATCCTGACAGCAGGGGACCACAAAGTCCCATAGCTGTGGGTGCTGGGGACTGGGAACCAGTTGGGTCCCTGCAGGCATGGGGCACACTTTCCCCAGGGGTTCGTGAAACCCCCAGGGCTGGGGGATCACAGCAGCAATGATCCCCCAGTTTTGTGGATTTCACACAGCTGTGAGACTGTGATATAGCAGCCATGATACCCCCAAACCCAGGGGTGTGTAGGGCACTCCACAGTTGGGAGACCCAACTGTGAGGGGACTCCCAGCTGTAGGAGCTTGCTTGCTGCTGATCGGTGGGGGGGGGGGGGGGCGGGGCATGGACTAGGCTTCCACCGCACTGGTGATAAGGCAAGATGGGATCTAATGTGCAACCCCACAATCACATCTCCTGCCATGCACGTGCAGCATGGTAGGAGGTGTAATTGCGTGGATCACTTATTAGATCCCATTGTGCCTTTACCTGATAGTGTAGAGGGGGCTGTAATGTTAATGAAATAATAGCTAATACAATTTTTTTTCTTGTTTTACAATTTACTTGAATACCTCAAGAAGGTACTACCATACTTCAGTTCAGTAATAGTTGAAGACTGGACATGGAAAAAGTCGTATTTTCTCTGTAATCTCATTTAGCTGCAGACTGCGTTCTTTCCATATATTTTTCTATGCGTGGATTTATTATTTTATTTGAAGTCTTATTTATTTTAATGGCCAAAGCACTGGGTTACTGGTACAAAGTATTTTTACTCATTCATTCAAATTCAAATTCATATGCAAAACCTACCCAAAACTCTAGTTGCCTTTTATATTTTTCTTTTTAAAATAAAGTAAAATAGCTTTTCTTGCCCTTAATAACAATAATTACTACTTGCTTATTCTGTCCAGAATTACCAATCCTAATTGCACCTCCTCCTGCTCAAAGCCCCACAAAAACAGGAGCTATGGAACCGTCTCAAAAGATCAACACAATTGGATTATTATAGAAGAAAGAGAATAAAATGTTCAAGGATTGACATTATTGCATTATAGACTCTTTTCTCCCTCCCTCTTTTTAAAGAGAAGGGATGTACAGTCTGAACACCTTTCTGACCACTGCTGTGTAGGATCATGAGGACAAGGAAAGACAGCAATCTCAAAGAGCAGACCTTAAGATACCATTTATAAATTACCACTACCATCTCAAATTGCAGCTTTGCATTTTTTCCTAGAAGAAGCAGAACATCTATAGACTGGTAATTTGATTCTGAAAGATGTTGTTTGTTCCTTACTAATCAAGTAAAATAGTTAAATACGTGTTTAACTTG